TAAGATATTTATCTGAAATATTGTATGAGATCACGTGCGACAACGAGGCATCCCCCTAGAGAACACTTTAGGATTCCTGAAATAACAGAATGCTTCAAGAGTTTTACGCGCTGTTGTTTTCGATTATTGTGCGAGGATGGCAACTTCCACTTCAAAATCTCCGTTATGTCCCCATGTCCTATGTCGTCTAGTGGAGTATTTGACTTCGCTTTAACTTTATCGACTAGATGTTGACTATGTTTTATACTGATTTACAGTAGTTTACCCGTTTCGCCGATGTATTCCTCTGAGGAAGCTTTACGTCATCAGTACATCAGACAAACTACACCCAAGCTCATAGAATCATCGTCTCCACGGTTGGGGCATATTATGCAAATTTGTGATGTGACTAGACCGTCACAGAGGCGGTTACATTACAAATAATTGGTGTCTTAGAGTGCTTGGTGGTATTTCAATCAAATAGTCAAAGTCAGAGTCAAATAGTAGTTATATATAACTACTTACGCCACAATTTAATTTCTATAGAGGTCATGGTATGCGAAAATAATAGCTGGTAGTTTTCTACTGTAGACCAACATATTTCAGCTTTTAGCGAATGTTATTAACTGAATACAGATGATGGAGATTAACGGAGCTTATCCTTTATTTTTTATTGCTTCCAATACAACAATAATCACGAAAGGAACCGCCGGTCATTTCCAAAGGCCTGTAAAAAGTCTAATTCCATAATATATCGATCGAAACGCATCACCACGTCTGTCATTGCAGTGAACATTCTTATGAAGGAAATCGTAACAAGGAGACCTCACATTTTTAGTTAATGTTATATATCTCCCAACGGTTCACCGCCTCACCGTGGCTGGGAGGTGTTCCTGGTGGTGGACTGCAATGTACAGCGCGGAGATTCGTCCCTCCGGTAGGGTCTTCCAAGGTGAAAAGGAGTTTCCACCAGGAAGCCCAGCTAAGAGTAAACCAATGCCAGGATCCACCTCCATCGCGGTATCAAACTAGTCGCATGGTGGCAAATCTTCCTCCGATTCGCAAGGGTGGCGACTGACTGTGGTGGTGACGACCTGGGGCAGAATTTAGCCAGGCTGTCCTCAGGACTCCAGGAAAAAACAATTCCTAGACCAGCAAAACTCCGAAAGACAGAGAATATGCTGAGTCTCGCACAACCAACCAGTGAGGATGGGGCCTCCAAGTATCCAACTATGTATCTAGGCGCAGCGTAAAGGCGCGATGGTTTTTCCTGAGTGTGGACGTGAGATGTGGTTTGTTCTTTTTAAAGGACCGGCTAAGCCATGAAGGAGCTCCATGTTTCACTTCTGAGAATTCAACTAAATGCAAACCTATTCCGGGAATCACTGGCCTCACGAAAGAAGCTTGGTGGCAAGGTAGCAAATATTCCCCCTCCCCTTGCTCCTTCCAGAAACATTGTGTGATGACTATTTGAAGATCTTGGAGGAAAGTAAACTTTTTTTATTATTTTTATATTGCATGATCCCAATTCAAGTATAACACACTGTTCGGATCGCAGCATTTCTGTACCCGATTAGTTTTTTCGCATCCACTATCCATGTAAGTCTTCAAACTTTACATGTGTAAGTTCGTGTGCTGCTGTGGGATTTTACATCTTCATCATGAACGTCGTTGAATGCTGCCCGAATTGATTCTCCGCGGAATCCGGAGGCAGTCGTGCTGGAGCGTTCCGGCGTCGATTGTCGCAGACTACTCTGGTACCAATTTCGCAACCTCAGAGGGATAACAGACTTCGTTGTAACTCCCGCGACCGACTTTCTATTAACCTCGGCATTGATCAAGTAATTCTTCGTATTTTTGTTGAGCAAACGCGAGGTGTTATTATTCTTTATTCACGAATAAGCTGACGTTTCGGCGGATTTCGCCTTCCTCAGAGCCAGGAAAGGTCAAGTTGATAGCAATCTACTCGGCCAGACGCCTCCATAACCAAAGAAGGAAAGTGTCGTTTTTTTGTTCAGCAATCGCGAGGTTTTTAAACAGCATACATTTACTTCCATAAAAAACAATACAATACAGCGCTAGCTGACGTTTCGGCAGTATCGCTTTCTTCAGAGCCGCTTTTTCGTGAAAAACCTCGCGTTTGCTGAACAAGAAAACGACACATTCATATTCCAATGCCGAGGTTAAGAGAAAGTCGATCGTGGGAACTATTACAAAGAAAGAAACTCTAAACCAGGATTTCAATCACATTGAACACAGCTTTGCACACTCACCGCTTTCTATGAGGTTTCCACTAAGTATGTCACGTAGAGAACAACCGCACAGAAATCACATGGAAGCATGATGTGCCCCTCCCATCAGAATAGCAGTCTTATATACTGCCCTATATCACGTGTGATAATGAGGCATTCTTCCCCGCGGTTCATTTTTGGATTTCTGGAGTTAATCCAGAATGCCTCGAGAGTTTTTCGCGCCTGTGTTCTTGATTCGCGTGCGAGGATCGTGACACATACTTCAAAGTCCTCCACGTTATGTCTCTGGGTCCTATGCCTGCCTAGCGGGGTACTTGATCTATGTTTGCCGGCTAGGTGTTCTTTTATGCGGACACAGAGGGATCCACCCGTTTCGCCAATGTATTCGTCACCGCACGTCTTACAGGAGATCAGATATAACTATACCCGTGCTCATGCAATCACCGTCTCTACCACTGGGGCAAATTATGCAATTTTGAGTTGCACATAGACGGTCATACAGGCGGTTACGAACCAGCTGGCGCTTAAGATTACTCGGTGGTATTTCAACTACGCTTACCGAATTTTCTAAACCCGCCCTTCTTAGGCAGCGTTTTGTAGCTGTACTTATATCATTTTCGTTGTTGTGCAGCGACTTGGAACCAGTGCTTGGTCGGTTGCACCGCCCGCGTAGTAAACGGTATCACTACTACTACAATACTCACTATTCTTGCTCAATATGTAAAATATCGACAAAGTGAAATACATATTCGGTTTTCCGAGGTGGACAATGACGGACGATCTATTTTGACAGTCTGCCTGCGAAAAGTTAGAGATTTCGCGAAAATATTTTCTTTTAGCGTCCGACAAGTTGCAAAACATACTAGCAAGATGAGTGCTTGCAGTTTCTAACACTTTGTTCTAGACATTAATAGTGGTTTCTGTGGTTACTGACCATATAATCACATGCTAATGGCTGCACTAAGCTTACTACATATTGTGATACAATGTAGAGACCTGAACAGAAATAAATCTAAAGATTTATGCAGTAATGAATTCCTTTAAGCTGGCAGCTTATCTACGTAAATAAATGCGGTGACATTTCCGTTCTACAAAGCTCGAAATCGCTAGCATTTTTAGCTTAGGATTTAGCTTCACACAATCCGCTCTGCGATTACTGTCGGGTATACTCGTGAGACGTACGGTAAGTGGTTACGGTGGCTGACGTTTCCAATCGATAGTGAATATTCGAAGATAACGATAACCACTAGTCATGCGCTTTAGTTCAGTTATCATTCGCTATGATTTGCTGCCTGATTGCTTATCACATTGCCAGGATAACCAATGAAAAGAATGTACACAGCAATCGGTGACGAAAGTAAGCGACAAAAGTAAGAAGGAGCCATATCGTGAATCTGCTTAGAACTGAAAATTATGGATACAGTGTTCTTTTCTAAACATCTTAAACGGTTTTTCCTTTGTTTCTTTTCTCTCCTAAAAAGCTGTCGAATACTTTTGACTCAGCAAACTATCACGATGAAATACTTACCTAATGTACCATGTTTACCGCTCATTCAGCTACAGCTAGAAGAGCTCCTCTACTAATTCCTTAACAGTTTGAAAAATAACCTAATGAATGTTATAAACAATTTAGTAATTCAGTAATTTCTGTTTATGCGATATTATCTCAAAAGTTTAGAAAAATTAGTACAATAAAAATAACCTCTGCTAATGTACGTATTTCGTCGGATAGGGATCGAACGGACTAAAATGTAACTTTTCTTACCAGAACTAGCCTTTTTCATCAATCTCTCGTCATGTAGAATCGTTTCTGCAGTCATGTAAAAAAGTTGTAAAGTCATTATCATAGAAGGAACTCATCGGTTAGAGCAAATTAGATGAAGATATGTCACAACATCACGAGACTGAGGTAAGGTAGCTCCGCCACGCTACCATGGTCCTAGATGGGTGTTCAGTTGTGTAAATTCCAAGGGCCTTTCTACCTTGGAAATAGTGGTCGAGCTTCACTAATCTTATCCGTCCGTGTAAAGTACAAAACAACAAGAAAAAACCTCGTCACGTTGAGGTGACATATAATCGCTAGGAGATAAAAAACACTATGTGACAAGGTGAGTTACTTTTACATTTTTTGCTTGATTATGTTTGATGAAACCCCACATCAGGCAATATGTGGGTGACAGTAGTTCCCTTTCGCTCATTCGATTCGCTCTCTCGCGTCCTTGTCACCGACCAAAGTCGTCATATTTGCGTGCCGGTACGGTTCTATTCGTGGATTCCAGTCTCATTTATGAATGTCGTTGAATACTGGTCGAGTCATTCTCTCTGGAATCCTAGAATATACGTCTTAGTGCATTCCTCAGTTCATCACTACAGGCTGTCACACCGCGTTCGCTGATCGGAGGAGGCTTCCAGCAGAAGTCTGGTACCAGTCCACCTGCCCCGGATGGATGAGATGCCTGGTTGGCAGAGTGTAGGGTCGAACCAATATTCTCTTCGCGCTAGATGATATGACTACCACTGCTCTATTCGTGATCCACCAATGAGTTTAAAAAAGCAGGAAACATCCACCACAAAAAACATGAATGCGACAATGTTGGCACTGATTTTCATCTATATCACATCGTTAATGATGTTGCACTAATGTTTTCAGGGCAGTCGTCGATAATCTCGCAAGAATTTTTGTCATTTGACTCAAATGAGACAGCAATACCTAAAGAATTCAACTACCGCGGTCAAACAGTTGTTGGCTTCGATCTGCGAGGCACTGATATGCTATGCTTACCTCAGGCAAGGAAGGGTTATCGATAACAAATAGGTGATAAAATAAATGTAATAAGTGTAGACCGTGAATTATTTGCAGAACTCAGACTCCAGAAGGAAGGCAAAGTAAGGCCCTCAGTGGTGCAGTAAGTAACTCTTGAGCCCCAAGAAAGGGTAACACGGGTTCGAATCTGGCATAAGGTCTGGTTTCTGCAAATATCTCAGCGTCATTGTGGTTATATTTCGCATAATGCCCTGCCATAAAAAACAGTAGGCATTAAACAAAAAGGTGCATATTGTAGAAACTGTGTTGACAAACGACGAGAGAGCATCAATCATTATTCAGGTGTATGAACTTTTTCTGAAGAACATGGTTGGCGGGCTACACACTGTATACACGAAGCTGAAACGACTAGAAATAACGCCAATTATATGTAATGTTGAGCAGGTATCATTTTTAATCCACAAATCCTACAAAATAAAACCACTTTCACATCATGTTCACCTGTATCACCTACCGTGTTGTTGATCGTCGAGTAACTTGAGCGGCGCAGGTAAACCTTCCATCTCTCCCTGTCGAGTGCAAGAGTAGTGGGTTATGCTCGCTCCAGAGTTTTGCAGAACATTATATCCTTCATCTCATGAAGAACTCTGACCATCGGGTTGGAGGTCTTCTTGGCGTTTGATATCCCAAATATTCTATCCGCTAACGGCTCTTGTCCATCGGCTGTCGTTCAAACGCATTAAGTGCGTGACCCACCTTAGCTTCGACAATTTGACGTCAGAACGGCATCTTTGACTCTTGTTCGTTGACGTAGTCGAAGCTTCGAGTTCCCTCTCTCACTTGCGTGAAAATGGATACTCCTAGCACCATCCTCCTGATTCTTTACCGACGAAAAACCATATCGGATTTCGAAAAGGAGAACCAGTGGGAAGAAATATCCATGCTCCTTTATAGAACCAGGAAAATAGAACATAGCTGTTAAAGAGATTCGAGTGGTAGTCGTGAATGATTTCTTTTATTGTCTTTCTGGCAGCTGTAACTGCTCCACCTGGGTGTCGGAGTGCGATCGTCTTGGTTTTGCAATTGGCGAAGCTTTGGATGTGCTTTGCGAATAGTTTTCCCAGCTTCTGCAGGTTAGACCACAGCAGCTGATCCTTTCTATTTAAGATCTTTTACCTTCTGTCTGCATTGCATTACAGGTTTAGATATGAGCTGGCGGTTGCTTGTAGTTTATACGGTTCAACGCTGGCGTATCAGTTCGCTTGTTTCTCATGGCAGATACCTCTTAGAGACTTTAAAACTCTTAGCTTTCACAGCGCTGACGTGAAGATATTGAATGAGCCGATCGTATTCCTCGTCAATGTTGTCAAGAATGGCATCTTCCCAACAGCGACAAATAAACTAAATAAGTGCCAGTTCATGATGGTTTTCGGACTTCGGTCTTTCCGTGAGAAATAGAATCTTGCACGAAGGAGACGATGGTCTGATTCCGTGTAGAATTTTGGGACAACAGCGACATCGGTTAGGCAAAACCTTCTATTTACTATGATGTGGTCCATTTCTTTATGGTACCCTCCATTACGAGACTCCCACGTCTAGCACTGAGGGTGGGGCTTCTGGAATTGCGAGTCACCATGGATTGTCTTGGTCGCCATGATAAACTCAGATAGCCGCCCACCCTGTTCGTTCCATTCTAATCCCTGGGTTCTAATGTGACGTTCTTCAGACGTTCTTCTTGGTCCAATCTTGGCCTTGAAATCTCCAATAAGGACCTTCAAAAATGTGTGGTCCTCTCTGTAGAATTTCTCCAAGTCCATATAGAATGCTTCACCTTCGCCTTCGTCATAGTTTGATGTCGGTGCGTAAACGACGAAGATTGTCAAAGCTGGTATTGACTCACATCTCTTCAAACGTGGCGCCCAATTGGAGCTGTTTTTTGTTCGAATGAATCGATATTCATGGCCAAACTCGTGCTGTTGATAGCTGGCTTCTGGCGAAAATGACTCGCCACCCTTAGGAAGGGCCAGGTTGCCTCATGACCAACTGGCAGAAGATCCCTTCGTGAGGTAGATCCGTAGATCGAATTGCCTTCATGATCCGAAGTCCGATTAGCACGCAATGTATGATATGGACGTATAACGTATACGTCCAGTCGCTCTGTCCCGATCTCTCGGTATGACCTCTACATGCTTCATTCTAAATCTAATGGTACTCTAATCTAATCTCGCCGCACGGAACCTTTTCCCTATACCTTTTCTGATTTGTCAATAGTTTATCTAACACAATGCCGGCCAGAAAAACCTCTATTCTGTGCTTAAAAATATGCGAAGAACTTTTCTCGAAAGAATTTGTTGACTGGTAATTTGACAGCAAGTTACTCTTATTTCTATATTATTTTTCCAGTGACTGTAATCAGTCATATTATTGTACGGTAAATATGAGTATAGAAAATACCGAAAAAGTCGGAGTATGAGTTGTGAAACGCTTCCAGTAGTTTGCAATGGATTTTTACGACGGATCGTAGTTATAGTACAACCCATTAATATTCATAGAACGACAGAGCAAATCTCTTGTACGATCCTACCATGTTCACCCTAACCTAATATTCCATAGTTATCGAAAAATCACGGTCTACTGACAAAAAACGGGCAATTCTAAAACCATAAAGTGTGAAGTTGCGCGTAGCAGGCTAAACGCCGGGATTCCTTTAGGTGTTAATTATAGATTGACACGTGTAGAGACCGGTACAGGCTTTCTTCGTTTTATGGAGAACCACCACTGTCTAGTCGAATACGCTGGTCTGATTGCTATCTCTTATTATTTTTAGCTAGGAAGTGCCCATGGCTGACTTATCGTGCTTGGTCATTTTGGGCGCACGAGATGGGTTGCTATGGTATAGTTATGGTGCTTATTTGTAAAGGACGCCTCCAAACCTCGTCTAATGTATGTTTCACCCTTTAAATAATCAATCCAACTCTATCGAAAGAAGAAACCAATCAGCTGAGTCTACCTTTGGCTTTAGTTGAGCGTTTTTAGGCTGTCAATGATTATCTATCCGTCAACTGAAGCGCTACGTAGCCTGGGTTTCCCCACAAGAGAGAGAAAGAGATTTGTGGAGATTAAAACCAATATGTAAAAAAATGTGCTTGTGTTATGAGTTCAGCAAAAATCATACAACAATATTAGTAGTATCCATAGTTGTTAATATTTTCAGAAAATTATTAAATAAAATCAATAGCTGTTAGGCGATTTTAGGTACGTGCTTTACGTAGCAAAAACGCCATACAACCAGGTGTGAACCGATGCAAGCTTATCGCTGCCACCGATTTCGATCGCCTCTATGATGATTGCACGAATACCTGGTCATTGTCACTTTAGTAAAATGTTGGAAGTCGCTGCGCAATCTTAAATCTTTAGTACACGTCCTGGCCGCCCACCAAAACGATGGTCTGCCGTGGAAGAATGGGTAGCAAAGCGTGAAAAACTGGAAGGTATACGAATTTTTCAAAATTTTCCTCTATACAAATTTTAGTTCCCAAATAAGTGTATAGAAATCTTCGACTGGAATAAAACCATCGCTGAATATTTTTCCCGTTCCATCGATCACGTCAGACCCAAACATTATTTCCGCTTGACTGGTATCGTGATCATTAGAAAGTTGTCCTTTCCCTGGATTTTTGAGATTACCACGCTTGAGTGTTCCCAAATGGGCGTCGCTAGCAGACACCAGCCTTCATGAATCGGATGGAATTCTGCTGCTTTTATCCATGACAATGTCAAGTTCGACACCCTTGAACATCCGGAGTTGCAGTTAAATGACAAATGGTTGTGGAAACGAGATAAGGGAAAGGTTAAGAAAGGAGATTTTTCGAAGAATAGCTAAGTTTTGTGTTCTAGATTCACAACAGCAACGTCAGCAATACGGCGGTGAGACGGGCTATACTATAGGTCCAAGAGCTTCACCCCTAAATCCAATGATTCTTGGACAGTTTCTACCCCAGTTAAACGCTCAACAACTTCTTCTTCAACATATGATGGTACTTGCAGCAGCACAAAAACAGCCAGGGATTTGGTACGCTTGTAATCGAACTATGCATTTTATAACTAAAGCGATTCGTAAAAAAATCGTACTCCAGCTACACATTGATCAAGTAGATCAAAAAGTTTTCCAAACAGGTTTTGACTAATTAGGACTTGAAAGGTTTAAGGACAAACTTACGTTTCACTTTGTTCACAGTGGGTTGTTATTCAACTTAAGAAGATGTTTGTAGAATATCTTGTGCGAACCAAAATCAACGCAAAAGATATAGTTAGAAGACGCAGCGATGTGAAATTTTTCCACTAAAATCTTTAATTTGCAGTGTTCTTTTAGCGGATCATCGAACCTAGTAATGTCAGCAGGGGCCGAAGTGGACGGTACTCCACTGAATTTGTCGAAGACGACTTCAAATTCAGAGACAAGTGACAGTGACTCATTGGAGAATATGCGAAAAGGATGCGATGTCTGTAATCACAAATCAACTATCTATTGATGCCTTTTTTTCCGAAAAGTTAAAAACACAATGGCCATTTGTGTTGTAGATTTCGCCAAATCAATCAATATGTGAACGAGGCGGTTCGAATGATTCGGATGACTCGCCTTCATCCGTGCAATCGATTGCTGCCGCGACAAAAATCATAACGCTGATCGATATGGCATCAGATCACTTCAAACAACAAATGGAATCGATAAGGAAGGAAAGAGGTGATACAGAATCTTTGAGGTGTAGGCGCAGAATTTGTTCATGGATTTATTGTCATTTTCCCCTTACTAGTCTAATCAGGCTAAAAGTGGTTGTGACAACGAAGAAAACTAGTTAGAATGAAACATGATGCATAGAAATAGCCAAGACGTAAAAGCTGAGGTTTCGTCCAGGAATTATAAGATCTCCTTTTCTTCTTAACTCGTGCCCTTAATCGGGAAATAATTGTTAGATTAGGAAGAACAGTACAGTTAATGGCTCGCATTTTATCCACTTTCGCTACAGGACCTATTTCATATCAATTTCCAGCCGATTAGGATATTTCATTCGGCAGTCCTGCATCCTTTATAACTGCCCTTAAAGTAAAACGAGCTAGGAAAAAATTTTTTCATAGTCTTATGCTTGCTTAGTTGCAGATTTTCAACAACTTATATGGAACAACCGAGTAACGAAACTTACTTTATATGAGTAAATTACTTAAGTTTTTTCGTGACTTCCAATGAGGAAGTTTAGAACAGCTGATTCGATTATAGTCACGAAAAAAGCGGCTCTGAAGAAGGCGATACTGCCAAAACGTCGGCTAGCGTTGTATTGTATTGTGTTTTTTATGGAAGTAGATGTATGCTGTTTAAAAACCTCGCGATTGCTGAACAAGAAAACGACACATTCATATTCCAATGCCAAGGTTAAGAGAAAGTCGATCCTGGCAACTACTTAACTTTTATTAACTGTTATATCCCCGTTTCTAAAGCATAATGGTTTCAGCTACTCAGCACTATTCTAAAAAAAAATAATCTTAATATGTGGTAAAGAAACGAAGGTTAATGTTTATAGCATCAGTGGATTCCGTGAAGAATCCATTCATAGTGTCCTAGTGGCTGAATGCATATCTGTCCCATGCAATGAATTGTGTGGGCCAACAATTCCACAACCACAGTGCCGATCTCTGAAGGACGTATGGATTGGTGAGTCCGGGATCGAACCGTTGACCGACCGATCCAACGTGTATCACTTCTCACCTCATAACCACTTCGCTACATATGCCCGCAATTATCTGTACATATCGGACCATGTAAAGCAATGAAAAATATTGAAAAAAAGAGTGTTTGTCATTGGTCAATTCTTCCTTTCTTTGTCCATTCAGTTATGATTATGGGGCGTTGTTATACAATACAATTTTCAGAAGAGGTCGAATTTTTACGTTGCCGACTAAAAACTTCGCTCATCGACGAGAATAAATTCCGAGAACAACTGCAGGCTGAGAAGAGAAGATCAGGTGACTGCGTCGTTCGTTAATCATTTCGTTACACTCGTCACATTACTTCTATTACAGCACGTTGAAAGCGTCCGTTTCTCTGTTCCCGTCGTAGTTTTTGAAAACAAGAGCTTTTAGTAGTATTTCGGACGTTTTTTTTCAATAAAAGGATAAACGATGAAGCTCGCGGCGTGAAGCTCAATGCATGACGCCTCCCAAAAGTTTATCGCCTCATCGTGGCTAAGAGGTGTTCCTAGGTGTCGAGCTGCGATGTACAACAGGGATTCATCCCACCAGCAAGGTCTTCAAAGTTCAGAAGCAGTCCGATGTTTCCATCAGGAAACCCAGCTAAGAGTAAACCAATACCAGAATCAACCACCGTCCTGGTTTCAAACTGGTCCCATAATGGCAAATCTCCCTTTGATCCACGAGGATGGCGACTGCCTGTAGTGGTGACGACCTTCGGGAGAAATTGGCGAGACTGACCTCGGCAATCCAAGGAAACACAATGGCTAAATCAGCAAAACTCCAAAAAATGAAGACTATGCTGGGGCCCGCACAACCAGTGCGGACGGGCCGTCCAAGTATCCAAGAAATTGGGAATGCTTGGCGCATCCCTCAGAGATTGATCAACGCCTAGAGCTTTTTTTAACGTTACTGACACCTGCACCACCGTGTGAGACATGCTTGGCTCATGCGTAGCAGGCACAACGCACTGTCTGACTAAGGCGTAAATGTTTATTTTGACACATTTTTTGTATAGACGACAGCTTCTCTGCGATAGATTTCGCTAATGTTGCCATAATAAGTAGATGTTATAACTTCAGATATCATTGAACAAATGATATTCTCTACACCATTGGATTTGTTGATAACAGGACTGGGTTTTGGTTATTTGAAAAGGCCTGGATGGGAGTTCCAGAAAAGTCAATGCTGTAGAAAACTAGGAAAATCCCTTGTGCCGATTGTCCTAATTATTATGTTATATTGAACCTACCTTTCCCCTGCTTTTTCTCACTTTTGATAGATTTGCTAAAAGAAATTTCACTCAAGATTTAAATGCTGTGATAACTTGCATATTTGCTGGATATGTCTTCGTTTACTAATGTGCTTACACAGAGTTGTTGAAAAATCATAAGAACACAGTGGTCGAAGAGAGAATTAAACCCTCGTTGAAAAACTATTGCACGCTTCTTCTTACAAATGAGATATTAAGATTTTCAGCTAGACCATCATGATGTTTTGATATAACTAACTGTGCTTTTTCCGATCTAACTAAATTAAAACTGCAACGATCCTGAGACATGAGCCAAACTCGGAACCTCAGATGTGCTTCGAACCTGCGGTTACCCTTTCGGGAGAGTGTTAAGGCATTGTAAATTAAGACTAATTTCTCGTTCTAAATCTGGATTGATACAAAAGCAAAAACCAGTTCTAATTTTATTTTTTTAACTTGTTCCCTATTAACTGTTGTGGATTCCATTTGGATCCCCTTGGCTACAAAAAAAGCAATAGGGTATCGACACGTTAGCCACAGCGAACCTATATAACAACCCTACGTAAACTTGTCGTGATTCGTAACGAGGCTGATTTTTCGATAACTCGCGACAGTCCGACAATTACTGGATAAGCAAAGTAGTTCAGGAATCCGGAACTTTACAGCCTTATAGAAAACACTTTGCTCTGTCGCACAAATTATATGATTTAAAAAAATGAAAACGTAAACCACATGTTTTAAAATTTTCAACTCAAGAGCGGGCGATACAAACATGTTCGATACGTTGGTGAACACCATCGCATCGTGCTAGACAAAATCCCGTCTGTTCATTCGCTTTCATGCTGGAACTATGAGTCTTGAAGCAAAAAAGTGAGGTCACCTAACAAGCTTCATTTTGCAATCCATGTAGCACTTCCTGATCTGGATGATTCTAACAGAGATTTCTATCGTGTAAATCCTCATTTCTATTCCAGACTTCTACTTTCGTCGTTATTGTAAAGCACGACGCGAAGCGATCCTCTTAAAAGAACAAATCTCGGAGATTCGCCGTCATTCTGGCACTTCGACAACAAACATCTAAGACATTGACTAAGCTTGCATAGTCAATCATTATGCATTCCATTATATATCTCATTAAAATCACTATTTGACGTCTTTATTGATCGTTCAAGTCGTTATCGGTCCTGCATGTCACTGTCGATCACACAGATTCGCCGACAAGAAAAGTCTGAAATCAAGTGCTCGTTACGAGAATTAATCTCTGCAATGCAGTTCATTTCAATTGTACATTAGAACTAGTGATGTTTAGAACGAGTTTTTCGTTAATAGTAATATACATGGATTTCAAAGGATTTCAAACAACGTTACATTAGGTATGGACGCATATCCTTGTACTTTTGTCTGGAACTTGATACTAATAAGACATCTATGCATCATGAAGTCCTAGTATGGATTATTTACGATAAAACGCGATCGGATATTGTCGAAAAAACACTCTTCACACACCATTCATAAATAGTGTGTGTCCCATGTTTACCATATAAGCAAGCCACATAAGCATATCGTTCAGCTATACTCACATATTTGCTTAGAAAATATTAGAAGTACAATGCACCGTCCTTCATTGATGGGCTAACGCGAGGTTGATAAAATAAACTTTATTCGGCTGAAGTTTCGATGTATTCGTCTTCCTCAGAGCCGATAACCGGAGTCGGTGTCCACAGTTTTTCGTACTCTCGATGTGGGTGCCTTCGTCATCGCATCGAGTCGGATCTTCGTGTGTTCCTCGACTGAAGAAGATCCGATTCCATACGATGACGAAGACAACACATCGAGATTACGAAGAATTGCGGACATGACTAGGGTCATCGACTCTGAGTAAGACAAAGAGGTTAGAACGTTAGCCGAATAGGGTTTATTTTATCAATCTCATGTTAGCTCATCAGTGAAAGACGGTACATTGATCATTCACACCGAGGTTAAAGCAAAGTTGGTTTGTGAAGTACTAGAAACATAATCATCTTTGTTTACATTGTCTTGAGTAAACGATTGGCGATGAACTGACCATGCTCCATAGTGGGTAGACGAAGGAAACTTCACATGTTGTAATGGAATAGGCTTGGAATACGTCTGTTAGATGATTAGAGGTGGAATCAATCCACACCTGCTCGCAACTCGTCGCATAATCAGATGTATATATACATAAAAATCAAACTATTATTATACATTTTTACATATGAAATATATAAGTCATTTCGGGACAACAAAGAAGAGTTGTCTCTTACTTAAATTCGCCTGCATCTTAGAGCAAGTATAAGTCGCTTTTGTCCGTGTTTGGGAAGTGGAGTAAGATGAGCGACTCCAGCTTCACCACTAGTCGACATAAGATCCGCCGTCATTTAAGGAACAAATATGGGTAGACCTTCCATTTTCCTTAACGTTCTTCTGTTAATAAACCCTTCTAAGACGGCTCTTCTTTTAAATAAAAACCGACTACAATTGGAAAGGAAAGGTTTGAGCTATTTGGTTTAGATATGCTTATTCTATTGGGAATTATATGCAATATTTTGACCAGTGTCCGATTTCTACTAAGCATTCGTTGATGCTTGTATTCGAATGGGTTCTATGAAGATCAATCCTTAAATAGAACGTCTTCAAATGATTCCTCGCAACGTGGTCGTTTCGTTTTCGAACAAATGACATCAAGAAAAGACAACGTATGGCGAACAGATACTTATCGGTCCCATCCCATCAATCACACGAATATTTGAATGGTTTTTGAGTCTCATTCTGTTCTTAAATGACGACCTTGGAACGATTCTGAACATACGAACATTTATACACGCACTTGCACACACATACACAA